TATATATATATATTTAGTTATATAGTTATATATACACACACGCACACACACTATATATATAGTTATATATACACACACACTATATATAGTTATATATACACACACACATACTATATAGTTATACACACACACACTATATATATAGTTATATATACACACACGCACATACTATATATATAGTTATACCCACACACACACACTATATATAGTTATATATACACACACACATACTATATAGTTATACACACACACACTATATATATATATATAGTTATATATACACACATGCACACACACATACTATATATAGTTATATATATACAGACACACATGCATATTATGTATATGTAGTTATATACATATACATATACATATATATATAACTAAAGTGTCCGTTTCCCCCTAAGACCCTGCGACCTTTAAATTTGCGATTTCAGGACTCCGAATCCTTGGTTCTAGAGTTCTGCACAGGAAGTTCATGCCACTTGTCAGATGGGAGCCATGATGGTGAGGTGTGGAAGATGGTCCCTGTGCCCTCCGCCCCCACCCCCCAGCCTCTCACTTGGGTAAGCTGCCTCCGACGACGATCCTGCCCAGCGGGTACTCCACACCGCCCACTGTGACGGGCGGGCTGACATCCAGGTTGCCAAAGGAGTCGAGGCTGGATGGGCCAGTGTACAGGATCTCCCGGGTTACGTATCCAAAGTCAGGACCCTGCAGAAAGACCGGCAAGACCCCACCCCAAGAAGGAAGGGTCTGGTGGGACAGGAGGAGGCAGCTCTGGGAGGAGAGTGGGACCTTCTGACCTGAAAGACCGCCTCTATCCGTGTTTATACAAACTCCCTGCCCTCGGAGCACTGTACAATTGAAGAACAAGCCAGTCACCGGCCGGCAGCTAGAAAACCCCCAAATGCTTGGAAGTTAGGCAACACATGCCTAAGGAACCCCACGGTTAAAGAAGAAATCAAAGTGGAAATTACAGAGCCAGCCTGCGGTATGGATCCTACAAGACCAACTAGGTGGTTTGCGGCCCAGACCCAGCAGCTTGAGAAACACACCAAGTGTGTGTGCGTACCAGAATCCTGAAAGGAGGGAGGATTGGAGGAGAAGAGAATGGAGAAGGGACTGCAATGTGGCCATGCCCCATGGGGGTACTTTCTCCTCTCTCCCCTCCTTCATCTCTCTCTCTGGAAAGTGCACACACCTTCTGACAGGACTTTTTTAAAGTGGAAATTAGACAGCCTTTCGGAAGGGTAGGTAATATTAAAACCCACGGTGCTGCTAGGGAGCTGACAGACTCTAAACACATTCCTGGAAGAGACAGTGTGGGCGATCTTGGCGCTCAAGCTAGAAATGAACAGCAAACTAAACCCATAGGAAGTGGCAGATGAGACAGAGAGAAGAGGGGAGCAGAAGTCAGTGGAAATCCCTAGCTCGTACAAGGTGAGTCTGAGTCTGGGGTTTAGGTGGGTCCCCCCAACCTCCAGGTGATGCACTCACCCTGTAGGGGCCATAGTCACCTGACCCCATCCAGGCTAGGGTTGATCCCCCACTCCGTGTGCCCACAGGCTCTGAAACTTACCCGTTAAAGCTCCCACCTGTCCTGGCACTATCCCCAAAGAGGGAAACTGGGTCTCTTGGAAGGCAGTGCAGCCTAGTGGTCAAGTGCAAGGGCTGCCTCTTGATGCATCTTGGTGTCCCACTAACTTGCTGTGTGGCCTTGGGCAAGCTACTAAACCTCGCTCAGTTTCCTCATCCATAAAGAGAGACTAACAGGGGACCAGCAGTTTGCATAATGGCTATGTCGCTGGACTCTCATGTACTCGACCGCAGTTCGAGTCCCAGACCTGGTGGCTTAAACTCACGCCGGGTGCATGTGCATGTGTGCCCAAGATCCTGAGAGGAGGATAGAGGAGAAGGGATTGTGGCGTGGCCAACCACCCTGGGGGATGATTTCTCGCTTTCTGTTTCTCTGTCTCTTTCTTTCTGGCAAGTGCATGCATCCTATAGCAAAAACCTCTCCAAAAAAAGAAAAAAGAGAGAGAAAGTCTAATAGTACATATCCATGAGAGTGCTCTGTAGAGTAAATGAGGCAACCCATCGAAAGGTAGGGGACAGTGCCTGGAACTCAGTATAATGGCATGTGCTGCTGCTGCCATTTTGTGCACAGGAGGCAGCATAGCACCTGTCTTTCAGAAAACATTTGATGCCTAAAGTGAAATCCTGGCTCTTAAAAACAAGGGTACAGTCCCCACAGAAGGCAGTTTGGTCTCCCAGGCTGACCCCTTTGTGATTCCTCCGTGGGGAACAGATCCCTCCCCTAGGAGAAAGTTGCTGTCCTGCCCCTCCCAGACAGTTGTTGCCTATCTGCATGTAATTTGCATATCATTTTTATCCCCAGCTCAAACCTCCCACTGACTCCCCAGTGTGCTGACATTCCACCTCTTGTCCCCCTCTGTGGTCTCTAGGCCCTGAAGGCCCAGGCCCAGATGAAACTTTACCAGGCTTCTACAGATGGAACCACTCAATGGCCCACTCTGCCTTTGCCACCTACCAGGACCCTCTTATAGGGGAAATCCTTCAGGCCTCTGTTCCGGGGAGAGTCAAAGACCACGGGGAAGGACTTGTGAGGGGCCTCAATATAGCCAAACTCCATCTCATCCTAGGAGGGGAGAGAAGAAAAAGCCACAGTGACCTCTTCTGAGGGGCTTTCCAGACAGTGACCCCACCAGGCCTGGGGCAGGATGGGATAGCAGGTCTTAGAAGTGCAGGGTGGGGCAGAGGTGGTGGTGAGGCCACTCGAGACCCCAACCAGGAGAGGACTCTGGCCTGGAGCTGGAGCATGTGGAAGGGAGCAGAGGGCTAAGGCTGGCCCTGGGGGGACTCCCCGAGAGTCCTGGCTTCTCTGGGGGGCTGAGACCAGATAGGACTTTCCCAAAGTCCAGGCAAAGGCTGAGGGGCTCAGGCCTTCCAGGCCACCTCCCACTCTTCTGGGGGGGGGGTTGTCTGCACCCACCTGGATCCAGCGGTCATTTCGATTATCTATCTGAGGACAGACGACCAGCTTGCAGTTGGCCTTTGAAGCCAGATAAGACATGTCATCCAGAAATTTCTCATTTGAGCCGTGAGAGTCTACCACACTGCGAAAGACGGGGACAGGAGAGTGTGACATGACCTGGCTGTGGCTGACACATGTCCTCCTAGACAGGCCCTTCCCACTGCTCCACCGCTGATGTAGAGCCCTAAGGGGTCTCACCAATCGAGGCTGACCCCCCCCCCCAGGGAGGGGCCTTCCCAGGACTCTGAGAGATGAAAGGACCAGGGACCTGGAGGCTGGGTCCCCAAGTCCTCAGCAAGCGTAGGAACATACCTACAACAGAGCCACCTCCTCACAAGGGGTTCAGGACAGGGTGACCCCACCAGGCCTGCACAGAGTGGGGTGGCAGATCCCGGAGGTGCAGACAGACTAAATTCCAGATGTGCCACAGCAGGTCAGAGTAGGGGCAGGAAAGCTGCATCTGGAGCCAGCAACCTCGGCCAGGGCCCTGACTGCTCAGGGCAGAGGGACCCAAGCCTCCCTGTAGCTGTCCTGTCCCCAACTCTGTGCCAGGGCTAGGGTTTGTCCTCCAAAAACCCTCTGCCCGAGGGAGGAGCCAAGCCCAGCACAGGCTCTCCTCCTGCCCCGCAAGCCCAGGGACACAGGAGTGCCGTAGAAGGGCGGCCTCACCTGCACACGTACAGCTCCAGGGGGGGCTGGGTGTTGGGGGTCATGATCCAGGGGGCCACGCGGAAGGTCACGGTGTCTGTGAAGAGGGACGCCTGAGGAAAGGTCTGTGAGGGAGAGAGGATTCAGTGGGGCCTGCAGGGAGCCCAGGCTGCCCATCCTCTGCAGGCCTCCAGGTCCCCCAGCCCCGGCCTTCCCTGCCCTCCAAACTGGTCCCCCAAATCCTTCTGCTCCCAAACGCCCATCCCTCAATGCTGTGCCTACCTTTGTGTCCACCAGGCTGACGCTGAGGGAGACCAGCCCCGAGAAATCGGTGTCAGGGAAGGTGAGCCCCTCCACGTAGAATCTGACCTCCCGCTCCCCGGGCTGCCTTTCCACCTCATAGGTCAGATGCCGCGGCCCCAGCACCTGCTTGTAGTCGGCAAGGGAGTTCCCACCTAGGAAGAGCCAGAGTCAGGGGCCAGCGCCGTGCAGGGCTGTGGGGCAGGGGTGGGAGGACAGGGAGCCCGAGGCGGAGGTCCAGGCACAGATCCGCCTCTGTGGTTACAGCGCTGTGGGCCCCTCTCCAGCCCTGCTGCAGCCGAGCTGTGTGACTGGCTCCATGACTCAACCTCTCTGAGCCTGAGTTCCCCATCTGCAGAATAAGCTAGCTAGGATTCTCATGAGGTCAGCGTAAACTTTAAATCATGTAAAGAGAGAAAAGCACATGCACAGGGCAAGCCCATGTCCTGGCGGCTAAGGAGTCTGAGTCTCAAATGATTGACAGTGGGGTTCAAGTCCAGGACCCAGCGGCTTTGAGAAACACAGCGGGTGCATGTGCATGCATGCCCAAAATCCCAGAAGGAGGGGGAAATGGAGGAGACTGCAGTGTGCAGCGCGACCATGCCCTGTAGGGGGAGAGTACTTTCTCACTTCGCCCTCTCTCTGCGTCTCTCCTGGTGACAATTAAAATTCAAACAACAACTCCTGTACAAAAGGGGAACAACCCAAATGTTCATCCATGGATGATTAGAAAAGCAAAAATGTGGCGTATCCACTCAAGGGAATATTACTCATCAATACGAAGGAACGGAGCACCGAGCACACTACCACCTGTGACCCCGAAAAAGCCATGCTAAGTGAGAGACAGAGCCACCTGCTGTGTGACCCCGGCTGTCCGAACTGTCTGGTTAGGTAAATCCAGAGACAGAGCAGGTCGGCGGTTGCTGAGGGCTGGGGCAGAGTAGTTGGGAGTGACTGCCAGTGGGGGGTGGCTTTATTTGGGAGGATGACGATGTCTCGGAACTAGATGGAGGTGGTGTTTGCAGGGCAGCGGGAATGTGCTGGACGCCACTGAGTCGCTCGCTGTAAACCCACTAATTCGGGGGCTGAGACGGAGGTGCGGGGGTAGCACTCGGTGCTCTGCAAGGCACTTTCTCTACATGAGAAGGTTCCGGGCTTGTGTCTGGGGACCTCCCTGGGTACACTGGGCATATGTGGGCCCATGACCCAGGGCTGGCTGAGGATGGGGGTGGATCATGGCATGGGGACGCCACTGGGGTGCTATCTCTCTGTCTCTGTTTGTCTCCCTCTCTCCTGCTCATAGAAGAAAGAAGAAACCTAAAAAAAAGTTAATTTTATGTAACATGAGTCTCACCTCTATTAAAGAAGAAAAGCAAAGCTCCTGGCATGTGGTGGTTTGCCTCCCTGCCTCTCCCCTCCCAAGGGTCGTCTGGGGAGCAGCGCCCAGTGTGGTTCACTTCCTGAGCCCTGGCTGTGCTCTGGGTCACAGCAAGTGCTTGCAAGTCAGGCCCTCGGCCAGCGCTCCCACTCCCGCTGTGAGAGCGCAGCCCGGCTCCAGGCAGACGCATGTAGCCGGAACAACAAGTTCTGGGGCAGTTTGGGCAGAAAAGGGTGAAGGGGAAGAAGGAAGACAGGAGAGGCTTCTCGCTCTTTGTGAAAACAGGTACAGCCACCTCGGGGTTTAGGATTGCCGTATGTTCCAAGCCACAGGCTTTGACGAACAGAAATGTTCGGAGGGCAGGGCCTGGGCTGGCTCCCCGGCTCTCATCCCCTCCCCACGCCGCCTGGGCAGCAGCAGGCGTGCACAGGAGCTCTGTCCACGCTGACGGACCCAGGAGGGGGCAGTGGAAAGAGGAGGGGCCCTGGCACCCTGGATGCCTGGGTCAGAATGCCCGCCCCACCCCAGCTGGTTCTGTGCCTGGGAATCTGTGCATCCGCGCCTCAGTGCTCCTCTCTGTGAAATGGGGCCACACTGCACTGATGGAGAGGCTGTTTGTCAGCCATAATGAGAGTCACAGAAAGGTGGGGACCGACAAGAGTGCAGGGAGGAGACAACCAGAGGGAGCTGGAGAGGCCTCTCCGGTCACTGGCCCCGGGCACAGAAGACCCGCACTCTTTCAGAATCAGACAAGGGCACCTTCAAGACCAGCTCGTGGCTGTCAAAGAGCTCATCAGGGCCGTCGCAGCTCAGCACCACTGGGGACATGTCCTGCAGGTCTAGGAGAATGGCCCCTTTAAGACAACCTTCCCCACCCACAAGACCCCTACCTTCCCCTCGCCCCACCACCCTGGGCAGCCCTTTCTGTCACTCACCGTCCAGCGACACCAGCTGGCTGTTGGCGAGGTCGGGGTCCCCGAACTTGCGACTGTCCCGGTCACAGTTCACCAGCAGGACAGCCCCATAGCCCTCAGGGCCCCAACGCCAGGTTTTCTGTGGCAACATAAGAAGCCGTAGGGGCCAACGGGACCCAGGGGACTCCGGGAAGGGGCTCCGATGTGGCCAGGAATGGCTGCTTTGTTAGCTTGGAGACTTTTGTGTTCTGGGCTTGCCAAAAGATTTCAGTAGGGATCACAGATTCAGGGGCTGGGGCTCCGGTAAGACTCTAGGCCCAGGGTCCCTCCTAGTGCAGTGGACAGCCTGTACGGCCATACTTGGTGGCCCTACCCAGACGCCACTCGTCAGAGCAAGGGTGACGTCACCAGCCCCAGAACGCTGGCCAAGCTTTGGCCTTGCCGGAGAGCAGAGACTGCCCTGCCTACCCTGATATGTGTGCGGGTGAGGGACTGGGGAACCCCTGGAGACCCTCCCTGTCCCAACACCCTCCTGAGGCCTGCCCCGTAGATGTCTCTGACATCCATCTGTGGCCCTGTAGGTGCTGCGAGGTGAGGTCCACGCTGAGGTGGGGAAGATGGCTGGGCCCTGTCTGTGGCCAGTGCTCTCCCCTCCAGACCCGCATGGCAGGGCTCGCTTCCCCAGTTCACAGGAGAGGGAAGAGAAGCTGGGGGAGGCCTTTAAACCCAGGGACTGGTCTCTTGGGGCTGCACAGGGCGTCTGCCAGCCCGTATGGCCCTCCTGTCCACCCTCTGACTAGAAGTCACCCCGCACCAGAGCCAGGACGTGACTCATGCCATAGCCGCCACAGTGCTCAGGGACCTTGTGCAGTGCGCGACATACACGGCATCCAGGCAGCCTGCCCAGGTCGCCCACAAAGCCGGTGACCCAGACTGCCTCCCCGCGACCTTACCCTGCACATGGACCTTTGCTCCCTCTCAGGGCAGCCCCCGGAAATCCCGATGGATCATGCCCTGAGCGGCCCCAATTTCCTCCCTACTCTCCAGGGTCTAACCAGAGCTGACCACCACAGCATCCTCCACCAGAGGCTTGCCTTTCCCTCGTCTTCAGGAGAATACTCAACAACCCTTACGAAGCACCTACCATGTTTAGGGCTTCAAATACAGACAAGAGGTTCCCCCAAAATAGGAAAAGCAGAAAGGAAAAAAATCCCAATCCCAAAGTAGCTTAGGAGAGACCCAGAGAGAGGGGAAGCGGTTTCCAGCAGTCACGGCATGTCCGCCACATGGTGTAAGATTACACCCACTCGTGCCAATGGTTGTCCCTGGGTGGGCTTCCTACTCTGTCCAGATACCATAGACTCTGAGAACCCATCACCCCTCAGGAGGGAGGGTCCACTCCACCCCAAGACCAGCCTCAGGTTTGTCCATCAACCCTGATGTCTCAGGGGAGCGAGAGAGCCTCACCTTGTCACCTCCGCTCCTCTTCACCTTGCCTGTCCGGCCTGTGTCAACATCTAGGGAGACATCTGCAAAGGGACGGAGAGGGGATCACCGAGCACTGCCTTCCGCCCTAGCATCATGCCAGGCAAGCTCTGCTCCTTCCTAGGTCCGGGAGGACCCAGGAGCACTGCCCTGGGGACCCTACCCAATGCTTGGAAGCCCCTGGCCCTGGCCCTATGGTTCTGGGTGTTGAAGGATTCGAGTCACTGGCTCTTGAACTACCTGCTTGTCTACACATGTTGAATTGCTAGGTCTTGGTGACCTAGGGCTTCTAGAGCATATGCTAGTGGCCCTTAACTCTGGCCTCTGGGGCCCAGGGCCTGAGGTGCCGGGGGCTGGGCCCTGCCTACTATCCCGGGCCCTGGCTGAAGGCCTGGTGCTAGATCCTGGAGGCCCAGCAGGGCACACAGGGACTCAGGATGAAGGAGGCCTATTGTAGGCCTCACTGTTGGCCTCTGAGCAGTGACGTCGACAGGCCCTCCTGGCCCTACCATTGCTGGTCTCCACCCCTGTAGTTCCAGGCCCTGAAGAAGCCAGGCTCTTCAATGCACTCGCCACATCGTGGGGCACGTGGAGCCCCTCAAAGAGCCAACCCACAGGGTGAGCGGATGTGCAAACCCAGGGAGTCTGTACTCACCAATGCCAGTGAGGTAGAGCACGCTGTGGCCCAGGGCATCGCCCTCAGGCTGCTCGAAGTAGGAGACCTTCACCTGCAGGAACATAGGTGCCCTTAGCCGCCCTTAGCCTGCAGGGACACAGGGGCCCTTAGCCTGCAGGGATGTAGGTGCCCTAAGCTTGCAGGGACGTAGGGACCCTTAACCTGCAGGGATGTAGGTGCCTTTACCCTGCAGGGACATAGGTGCCCTTAGCCTGCAGGGACAAGGTGCCCTTAGCCGCCCTTACCCTGCAGGGACACAGGTGCCCTTAGCCTGTAGGGACACAGGTGCCCTAAGCCTGCAGGGACGTAGGGACCCTTAGCCTGCAGGAACACAGGTGCCTTTACCCTGCAGGGATGTAGGTGCCCTTAGCTGCCCTTAGCCTGTGTGTGTGCCCTTACCCTGCAGGGACACAGGTATCCTTAGCCTGCAGGGCCACCCCTTCAGAGATGGCAGTGATAGGCTAGGGGTGTCACATCCACGCCCAGGCAGCCCTGCTTAGAGGCAGGGAGGCCCCAGGTTCTCTCCCCTTCTCAGGCCAAGACCCAGGGCTCAGCTTGGATTCAGAGCCACCTTCTCCAGCAAGAGGCGGAGGGGCCCTCTCTGGTTCCCAGAGGAGGGGAAGGAACATCGGTACAAGACTCAGAGATGGGAGGTTGGGGTGGGTCCCAGCAGGAGCAGTTGACCTTCAGCTGACCTTCATCCCGCTCATTGGATGAAACAGACGGAAGAGCAGCTGTCACCATCGACTTGGGCAAATTTCTCAACCTCTCTAAGCCTCTGATTCTTGTTAATAGAATGGGAACTGTGACCCACCCCTGTCACCCAGCCTGTGGAGCCCTGACCACAGCCAGAACCCTGCCGGGTGCTCTGGTCAGCCATCGAATCGCACCCTAGGCCAGCCCTGGGACAGGGCCCATTCACACACAGTGAGGCTGGCTGTGATCAGGCAGCCCGGGCGGAGGTGGGAGCCCAGCCCCTGCAGGCACCCCCGCTGACCTCTGCTGTCCTTTGCTGCACGTCCCTAGCCTTTCTCTGCTAGGGGACAAAGGGCTGTCAGTGCTTCAGTAGCTCAGTGTGCGTGGTGGGCACCTGGAGCCAAGGGCGAGAAGGGGACAGTCAGTAAAAGAGAGCGCTTGCCTAGGTGGGGGGGGCACATACACCAGAGGGAGGGACGTGTGTGTGCCTGTGCGTCTGCGCGTGCATGTGCGTGCCTGTGCGTCTGCGTGTGCATGTGTGCCTGTGCGTCTGCGTGTGCGTGCGTGCCTGTGCGTCTGCGTGTGCGTGTGCGGCTGCGCGTCTGCGCGTGGATGTGGGCGCGAAAACCCAGGGAGTCTGTACTCACCAACGCCAGTGAGGTAGAGCACGCTGTGGCCCAGGGCATCGCCCTCAGGCTGCTCGAAGTAGGAGACCTTCACCTGCAGGAACATAGGTGCCCTTAGCCGCCCTTAGCCTGCAGGGACACAGGGGCCCTTAGCCTGCAGGGATGTAGGTGCCCTAAGCTTGCAGGGACGTAGGGACCCTTAACCTGCAGGGATGTAGGTGCCTTTACCCTGCAGGGACATAGGTGCCCTTAGCCTGCAGGGACAAGGTGCCCTTAGCCGCCCTTACCCTGCAGGGACACAGGTGCCCTTAGCCTGTAGGGACACAGGTGCCCTAAGCCTGCAGGGACGTAGGGACCCTTAGCCTGCAGGAACACAGGTGCCTTTACCCTGCAGGGATGTAGGTGCCCTTAGCTGCCCTTAGCCTGTGTGTGTGCCCTTACCCTGCAGGGACACAGGTATCCTTAGCCTGCAGGGCCACCCCTTCAGAGATGGCAGTGATAGGCTAGGGGTGTCACATCCACGCCCAGGCAGCCCTGCTTAGAGGCAGGGAGGCCCCAGGTTCTCTCCCCTTCTCAGGCCAAGACCCAGGGCTCAGCTTGGATTCAGAGCCACCTTCTCCAGCAAGAGGCGGAGGGGCCCTCTCTGGTTCCCAGAGGAGGGGAAGGAACATCGGTACAAGACTCAGAGATGGGAGGTTGGGGTGGGTCCCAGCAGGAGCAGTTGACCTTCAGCTGACCTTCATCCCGCTCATTGGATGAAACAGACGGAAGAGCAGCTGTCACCATCGACTTGGGCAAATTTCTCAACCTCTCTAAGCCTCTGATTCTTGTTAATAGAATGGGAACTGTGACCCACCCCTGTCACCCAGCCTGTGGAGCCCTGACCACAGCCAGAACCCTGCCGGGTGCTCTGGTCAGCCATCGAATCGCACCCTAGGCCAGCCCTGGGACAGGGCCCATTCACACACAGTGAGGCTGGCTGTGATCAGGCAGCCCGGGCGGAGGTGGGAGCCCAGCCCCTGCAGGCACCCCCGCTGACCTCTGCTGTCCTTTGCTGCCCGTCCCTAGCCTTTCTCTGCTAGGGGACAAAGGGCTGTCAGTGCTTCAGTAGCTCAGTGTGCGTGGTGGGCACCTGGAGCCAAGGGCGAGAAGGGGACAGTCAGTAAAAGAGAGCGCTTGCCTAGGGGGGGGGGGCACATGGCTGTCAGTGCTTCAGTAGCTCAGTGTGCGTGGTGGGCACCTGGAGCCAAGGGCGAGAAGGGGACAGTCAGTAAAAGAGAGCACTTGCCTAGGTGGGGGGGGGCACATACACCAGAGGGAGGGACGTGTGTGTGCCTGTGCGTCTGCGTGTGCATGTGCGTGCCTGTGCGTCTGCGTGTGCATGTGTGCCTGTGCGTCTGCGTGTGCGTGCGTGCCTGTGCGTCTGCGTGTGCATGTGTGCCTGTGCCTCTGCGTGTGCATGTGTGCCTGTGCGTCTGCGTGTGCGTGCGTGCCTGTGCGTCTGCGTGTGCGTGCGTGCCTGTGCGTCTGCGTGTGCATGTGTGCCTGTGCCTCTGCGTGTGCATGTGCGTGCCTGTGCGTCTGCGTGTGCATGTGCGTGTGTGTGCGTCTGCGTGTGCATGCGTGCCTGTGCGTCTGCGTGTGCGTGCATGCCTGTGCCTCTGCGTGTGCGTGCTTGAGGGCAGGGGTGTGCTGTGGAGTCCGGCTACACAAGCATGTGGGGACTTCCTGCGGAGTCTGTGTGCGACTTGAATACAGGGGTTAACAGGAGAGTGTTTATAAAATTGAGGGGGGCTAAGTGGGCTTGTGTCTTTTTAATTTTTATTTTTAATTTGTCAGAGGGTGTATGCACTTGCACGGGGGACAGGGGAACCACCGCCCTGGGGAATGGCCACACCACAATCCCCTCTCCTCCATCTCTTCCCCCTGTCAGAACTCCAGACATGAAATCTCACGTGCCCGGGGTGTCCCCCAAGTCACCAGGTTGGGGACTGAACCGCACAATCGGCCACGTGAGATCCAGCCTGTGTCGTTACTGCAGGATTCACACGTGTGTGCGTGCATGTGTGTGTGAGAGAGAGGGTGGGGTTGGTGTTCAGAGTGTCTGTGGAGTCGTCTCAGGATACGCTCTGTGGGTGTAGGTGTGAGAAGGTTTGTGAGATTTGGCTGCTGTGGTGAGTGAGTGGGAGTGCACTGGGGGCTCTCACCTGGGCGGGATGGTGACGAAGTGGGCTCTTACCTTGAGGTCATTTAAGTCCTTACTGGCTCTGTTCACGGAGACAACCACGTCTACCTTGGCATCCAGGGGCCAGTGGGTCTTGCCTGTGGGCTCTGTCACCCGTTTGGGGTCGTAGACTATGAAGATCTCTACCCCGGAGCTCCCCGAGACCCCGAAGGCCTTAGCATCCCTGGGCACATCACTGGCAGAGAAAGGAGAGAGGAAGAGCTGGGAGCTTGGGAGGGTGGCCACGGTGGGGCATGGGGCTGGGGTGACGAGATCCCCAAAGACCCAGCTGGAGAGTAGGGCAGGCAGTGCCACTGGCTAGAGACGGGCGATGCTGGGCCTCAGGGTGTCAGGCAGAGCTGGCGAACCTCAGAGCCCCACCCTGTGCACAGTCCCTTCTGTACCGACACTGAAATTCTGCAGCCCAACAGGAAGTGCACTGGGCCAGCCACCTCGGCATCTCTGCTGCCATGGCCGAGGCCCCAGCCACCATCACCACTCCCCTGGGTCGCTGGGCAGCCTCTTCCCTGGCCCCCTCACCCCCCACACACCCCTCCAGTCTGTTGCATGCAGTGACACGGCTCACATCAGCCTGTCCCATTCTTTAAAAGTAGTAGCTCCCACCATAGCAGGTGACAAGGGGCAAAGTCCTCACCACGGCATGCAGACCCCTCTTAACCACCTCGCCTCCTCCCTGTTACACCCCCTGCTCACTTTGCCTGTCATTTCACTGCCCTCATGCTGCTCCATGGAGACATCGACTGTCCTCCCTCGGCGCCTTGGCACTGGCTGTTCCCTCTGGGCATTCACTTTAGGGCTTTGCTTAAATGTCACCTTCTTAAGAACCAACCTCCCATCACTCATTTAATGCTCCGCCCCATCTTTCTCCTCAGCCTCCCTGTTGCCCTTACCCTGCTCTGACGCCTAGCCGTGCCTGTTTCTTGTCTCTCCCGCTAGAAGGTCAGCTCCACAAGGGGAGAAGTCACTGCCATGTCAATACATAGGACGGTGCCTGGCACGTAGTTGGTGCTCAACAAACTCTTGCTAATGGATTCTCACTTTCTGCTACTCTACAAGGGAATTCTCAGGCCCGGGGGCACTTTACTGGTGCCACAACCCAGTGTAACTTCTCCCCATCGACCTGATACACCGTAACTCTCTAACACCCCAGCCCTGGGGCTACACAGAAGGGTAGAGAAGTCTTCAGTCCACCTGGTCCTCACTCAAATGCCAGACCTCTGTCCTACTCCTAATACCACCAACTGCTCCCAGCCAGAGGGCACCACTGTCCCCAACCCTTGGCGGAGTCAGAGGCTACTACCCGAGGTCAAGTGCACTTACAGGCCTAGATACAAGAGGGCCCTGCTGGAGGGGCCCTCTTACACATCCTCCTTCCTCCTTGCTTTCCTGGACTCCTAAGAGCTCACCCAGACACAACGTCCTCTGAAAAATCCAGACCCTCCTTCCAAACCCCTGCCATGATCAGTCTGTCCCCATCAAACAGTTGCCTCTATTGACAATGGTGACAATGGACCTAGTTCTGACAATCATGAGTCCTAAATTATTATCCCCATGTTACCGATGAAGCAGGAGTGGAGGGGTCCCTGGAACCCATGGGGCTACTGCCAAGACCCTCCTTCTTCCACCGCCGTGTCCTCACCATCACATGTGTGGTTCCTTCAGGGGTCCTCCCGTCTTCCGGGCCTTTCCTCATGGTTTACATCGGTTACCATAGGAACCAAGTCTCCCAGCCGCTCATCCTCCCTGCTCCCCTTTGATCTCAGGCCTACAGTCTGCACAATATCCCCAACCACACCTCAGGCACCCTTGACCTTCGCTCCCTAACAGCAGTCTGGTCCTGCTGGGGACGTGGTCTCCCCTGCCGTCTTCTCCGTCTTCTCTGTGGTGGCTGTGTCCCCCTCACTCCCTCCTACCTGCGTGCAGAGCAGGACAGCGGCCCTCCTTGCTCCTCACTGCCCCTTCCAGATCATCATCTTGCTTTATTCCATAGCCCCCAGCTTTTTTTTTTTTTTTTTGGAGAGGTTTATCGCTATAGGGCACGTGCGCTCTCCAGACAGACAGAGAGAGATATAGAGATAGAAAGCGAGAAATCACCCCCCAGGGGGGATGGTCGCGCCGCAATCCCTTCTCCTCCATTCTCCTCTCGGGATCCTGGGCACGCACGCACACGAAAAAACTCGGGATCCTGGGCACGCACGCACACGCGCCTGGAGTGAGTTTTAAGCCCCTGGATCCGGGACGCGAACCGCAGTCGACTATGAGGGAGTCCAGCGACATAGCCATTACGCTAACTGCTGGTTCCCTAGCCCCCAGCTTTGAGCAGTTCATTCATTTTTTACAGAACACCCTCTCTTAGTAACTATAGCCACCCTGTAGTTGCAATTCGATCATGATTTGACAAATGTAGTTGCATCTTCATCTGCTTATTCTTTCCCCAATAATTTCACTGTCATTAGGTCTGGTATGTGATGTGAATGTTGGTTACTATTTTTGTTTATGTTCACAAGCAACACGACAGCGAAACAAGGAAGATGTATGGCCAACGTTCATTAACGGCATGGGCAATTTCTTGCAGAATCAGATGATCCTGGAAGAACTCTTCCTCGATTTTTTTTTTTTGTGCTAACCACAATGTAATGGCTGTTGATGTGACACAAGATAGTTTCATCTGTATTATTAGCCTTTCTCCATCGATTTTTAAATTTTAGACAATCAAAAAATAGTCGATGACGCCCTGATGTATAGCCTCTGCCAATTTCTGTGGTGTAAATATTCCCACGATAGCCATTTTCAAGCTACCAGCCCAAGAGCATCAAACCAAGAGTTTCAAAGAGCTGCAAGACGACAGCCCATTCCTTAGCTATTTCTACCACATATTTGATGGTGGAACTAGGCAGTGGTAATAATCAGGGAGTGACGAGTTTGCACTCTTTGTTGCCTTTGTTCTTTGAAAAGTTCTTATTTACTTATTTCTTCTATAAGAGAGAAATAAATGGAAACAGAAAGACTGGCCCCTCTACCACAACCCACCCCTAGTCTCAGCTGGCTTGGGACACGGGAATGTGCACACGTGCCCAGTTTGATCAGGGAGGTCTCAGGACAGGAACCCAGGACCTTTGCCATAGGAATCAAGTTGCATTACCACTGTGCTACCATCTGGCCCCAACCTTTTGCTTTTAATACAATGTATTTCATTGTAAATGTAATAGTTTGATTTTAAATCACCGTTGAGTTTAACAAGGGGCATTCTAAAAAGTGGACAAGCAGATCTCGTCAAGGAAGGACCGCAGTACATTGCCTAAAATGCATACTGTGGGGACCAGCAGTTGGTGTAATGGCTACTTCTCTGGACTCCCATGTAGTCGACCATGGTTTGAGTCCCGGACCCGGTGGCTTAAACTCACCTGGCACATGTGCGTGCGTGCCCAAGATCCCAAAAGGAGAATGGAGGAGAAGGGATTGCGGCATGGCCATCCCCCCGGGGGGTGATTTCTCGCTTTCTGTCTCTATGTCTCTCTCTGTCTTTCTGGAGAGTGCATGTGTCCTATAGCAAAAACCTCTCAAAAAAAAAAAAAAAAAGAAGAAGAAGAAGAAGAAGAAAAGAAAAATGTGTACTGTGGCTTCTTCCCCAAAGGAGTTACAACCTCTTACAAGGGGACCCAGGCAGGGAGGAAAAGAACCAATCCAGGTTTTCTGGCTTTCCTGGACATGGGCCCTGAGCATGTCACTAGGTCCACTCAGTAAGGGTTTACGGAGTCAGGAGGGCAATGGGGCTTTAGCTCAGGTGTCTCCCAGTGGGTCCAGTGAGTCGCTGTACCCACCCTGGGCTTCCCCCAGCTCCGGGATGTGTCATTGGAACAGACACAGCAACTAACACGAGCCCACACTGGTACTCGGTAGTGAGTCCCAGCAGGCTCCCGCTGGCCTGGCCCAGGGTTGAGTCCTTGTCGTCTCCCCTTCTCTTCGACACCCACCCCGGGAGATCTCCTCCTGCTACACTGACCTGCCCAGAACTCCCAGACCTCTGTCCCCAGACTTGTAGAGCTACCCGTTCTGAACAGCCCCCTCGGCATCTACTTGGCATTTAACTTCCACACAGCCACAGCCAGACTCCTGCCTGCCTGTGCCTTCCGGCTGGACCTCCCCAAGCCATGGCTGGTGGCATCCTCCTTGGGTGCATCCTTGGCTGCTCTCCTTTCTCCACATTCGCAGCCAGGCCCTGTGCAAATCCCTCAGCTCATCTCCAAGGCAGCTTGGAGTGACTGCCGCACCTTGGCTGTCCTTCACACCCTGCTTCAAACCACCAGTTTGTTTTGTGTGAATTTTTTTCCTTTTTTTGTTAATGGAGAGCACAACCATGGGTGAGAGAAAGCGGACCCTCAGCAGGGTCTCCTCAGGACTGGGAGTGGCCGGGCGGCACATGTTTTCAGGCCAGCCTGGGGACAAGAAGCCACGGTCAGCCATTCGGCTTCAGTACTGCAGCCCAGTACGCTGCAAACACACCAGGGGGCCTCGTGTGGATTTTGCCATAGACTGGTCTCCCCGCTTCTTCTAATTCCCCATAGTCCAGCCTCAACGCAGCAGCCAGGAGGACCTTTTTTTTTCTTTTTTCTTCTTTTTTTGGAGAGGTTTTTGCTATAGGGCGCATGCGCTCGCCAGACAGAGAGAGACAGAGAGACAGAAAGTGAGAAATCACCCCCCAGGGGGGATGGCCACACCGCAATCCCTTCTCCTCCAGTCTCCTCTCGGGATCTTGGGTACGCACACACACGTGCCTGGCATGAGTTTAAGCCACCGGGTCCAGGACGCGAACCACGGTCAACTACATGGGAATCCAGCAACATAGCCACTACGCTAACTGCTGATCCCAACAGCCAGGAGGACCTTTTTAAAGGTCACATCGTGTCCTTCCTGGAACCCCCGTGGTGTGCCCAGGCCACCTCTGGCCTCATCGCCTCCCCTCCCACATTCCTTCGCACGCAGCTCCTCGCTCTTCCTCAAACACGCCAAACCCACTCCACCTGAGGCCTTTGGGATCCGAGGTTCTTTTGTCCAGAACGTTCCACTCACAGATACCCACTCTCCACCCTGCGCGCATGTCCTTCTCAGAGACGGTCTTCCATGACCACCCTTCTGGTATCCGTGGGGCTGCTGCCCCCTCACCTCAGCCCAGCACTGCCAGCTGACACTCCCATACCTGCTCGTTTCCATCTCTCCCTGCAGAATACCAGGACTGTTTCTATAATTATTCTTTGTGGGCCAGCAGGTGGCATGGAGGTTAAGGTGGCTGGATCGCACATAACCAACCTTGCAGTTCGAGTCCCAGACCTGGTGTCTTGAGGATCATTTGGCCACGTGCACATGCATGCCCAAAATCCTGAGAGGAGAGTGGAAGAGAAGGGATGGCAGCATGGCCATTCCCCCGGGGGTGATTTCTCACTTTCCCTCTCTCTGTGTCTTCAGCAAGCACATTCGCTCTATAGCAAAACTAAAAAACAAAAAACTTGGGCCAGCAGGTGGCATGGGGGTTAAGGTGCTGGACTCCCACTGACTGGCCATGATTCAAATCCTGAACCTGGCAGCTTATTTTCTCACTTTATCTCTCTCTGGTGAGCACACATGTCCTATAGAAAATTTTAAAACAATAATAACTAAAATTAACATCAATAATTCTTTTGTAAAAACTATTTTTTTTCTTCTCTTATTCATGATAGACATGAACATGTAAGAGAGAGAGAGAGAGGTGAGCAACCTCCACAGGGCTGGTCACGCCATTGTGACCCCCTTCCTCCAGTCCCCCACCTGTCAGTCCTGGGCACTAGCGCACACGCCCAGCATGGTCCGGGCCGGGGATTTGACACAGTCACCTCGTGCAATCAGCTTCTCGTGAGCAGACACTACCACTGCGCCACAGGGCTGGCCTAGACTGAGGCTGGTGGCTTTGTAAGAAGAGGGCGGGACCAGAGCTGAATTGATCCAGCATCGCGTAATGCCCCGCAGCTCCTGGGGAATCGGGAGATGGTCCCAACAAGAAGACCCTCACCAAACATGGCTGGCCAAAACCCTGACCCAAGACCCATTTCTTCTCTACAAGGCCCCAGACTGTGGTGTGCAGTTACAGCAACAGAAAAATGACCTGGAACCCTGACCTGCACCTCCAGACCTCCCCTCCCCCCCATCAAGTCTCCTGGTGCAGGCCTCAAACCCAACCAAACCCCAGATGTGCAGTCCTGGGCTGTCCCGAAATTCACAGTCAGGTGAGGCAGTGGGTTAGAAAACACCCCTTAAATGGAAGGGACTATAATCACAACAGAAGCCGCCCCATCCTCACTGTAATCGTGCGATTATCCTTCTCGTCCTGTCAGTGGGCAGGCCACTCCCTGTACCCTCCGGCCCTTCTCCGTCTCCGCCAGCACAGAGTGGGGAGAGGGGGGGTCTTCTACCTTCTCCAGGACCCACTTCACATGCCACGTTTTTTAAGGAGTGGAATGCGGGCTACATGTGGAAAACAGGCCCAAATCTGGTTACTCACTGCCCTGAGCCTTCTGTAAAGTGGACATAGTCCAAAGGGCAACTTCTCAGGCTGTTGAGGAGACCCTGTGAGATGACACATTTAAAGGGTGACACTAGTCAGTGCTGGACGCTGTCATCACTGTTCCTATCGCGCAGAGCCCTGCACAGCACAGCCCGGTC